TTAATATTGGAATCAATGTATAAAAATTGATAAAGTAAATGTTTTAAAAATTGTTGAGAAGTAGTTAATATTAAGAAATAATTTAAGATATTAAAAATATAATTGAAATATATAAATTACTCATAAAATCATACATTAGGTGTTTAGAAATTACTTGTACAATCATACGGAAATAATTTAGAAATACAGATGTTACTTAAACTCAAAACAAGACAGAGAATCGTCCATTATATGTCCACAACTATTAAAACGATCATGCGCAAACATCTAAAGCAAACAAACAAACAAACATGCGAATTAACAAACAAACGAATTAACAAACAGACACATTAACAAAAGAACAAACAGACGAGTGAATAAACATACAAACAAAGAAACTGAAATACCATGCAAAACAAAAATTATCCGATCAGGCACAAACCTCTTTCAAAGGACAAAGAAACTCACGTAGGTATCACGTAGAAATGACTAAAAACAATACTACATGTCAACAAATACACTAATATGGTCATGCACTAATATAACTCAACAAAGAAACTGGTGTACAAAATCATGTACGTATATTACAAAACAAAGAAAGTGAATGTGTGTGTGTGTGTGTGTGTGTGTGTGTGTGTGTGTGTGTGTGTGTGTGTGTGTGTGTGTGTGTGTGTGTGTGTGTGGATTCAGAATTGTAAATATGTGAATCATGTGAAAGATAGATTGAGACAGTAGGCAGACGACACATTAACACACACACACACACACACTCACACACACACTCACACACACACACTCACACACACTCACACACACACTCACACTCACCAGTTGCCTCGTAAGTGTGTTGTTAAGACCCTCACGCACTCATAGACCGGAAGTGCTCGAATAGAAAGACTTTGGGCCGATTTCCCAGAGAGACTTAACTTGTCTCCTGTCCCTTAACTGATGTTGTGAGAACTGACTGGCTTCAATTGGTGCCCATTAGTCCATTAGAAGTAGGGTCTTTTATGTCCAGGGGGCTATTAGAAGTGGGGTCTGTTTTGCTTTGAGCCTTATTAGTCCTGGGATCCATTAGAACTGGGATCTATTATGCCTTGGGGCCCATTAGATCTAGGGGCCCATTAGATCTAGGGGCTCCAATTACCACTGGGGCCCCATTAGAAATAGAACACATTTCTAATAAGAGGTCCCATTAGATCTAAAACCCATTACTACCTGGCCCTATTAAAACTAAAGAGAGGATCAATTAACCGTATTGCTTAATTTAATAATCTGAGAAGAACGTATCCCTCCTCCTTCCTCCTCCTACCTCCCCCCCCCCCCTCCAGGTAGGCGTGGCGAGAGACAGATCAATAACCAATCAGCAGCCTCGCTTCTCATTCTTAAGATAAAAAAAACACGGTATTTTCTTTTTACCGTAAGTTAATGGAGAGAGAGAGAGAGAGAGTAAATAAATAAAACGTGTCGGTTTTATACCAGAGTCTTGGCTCAATCTTGACGCCATCTTTCTTTCTTTTTTGTGTGTCGTTAGTTGAGGACTTGAGTTGATTAGATGCGTCTTCACGTTTTCACTTACGAGAGAATTTTGACCTAGGGTTTATTGAGAAATTGATTTTTATGTGTAATTTAATGGTGATTGGATGAATGGGTCCAAGTTCTAATAGGTCTTAGTTCTAATAGGTCTCAGTTCTAATAGGTCCCAATTCTAATAGGTCCCATAATGAACCAATGTAAACTTGTAAGGTTTGTCTATATCTATCTATCTATCTATCTCGTAAATATAACTTTCTCAAACTGTTTTTATTGTTTTCCATTTTCTGTTAATAGATCAAAATAGTTGACCCTTTCATAAACAAGTTTCCCATAACTCATTTTTATTTTACGTAATTATAACAAAATATAATTAAACAACGTAAAGAATAATATAATCACTAAAATTTAATCAGTTTATTTGCATATTTCCATTAATTTCCATTTTCTCTTAATTACGAAGGGAAACTAAGGTATATATTCACCATTACGATCTCAGGATAATGGCAGATTCTCAAAGTCGCCCCTAAAAAGAAATGTCAGTTCGTATGTTTCTCCTTCATTTTATATATGATGGGAGAATTATAGGTTATTAACTAAAGGGATTTTTTTAACCTTACGTGTGTGTGTGTGTGTGTCGTCTGGAGCCATGTAAGTAGGTTAAGTATTAATTACACGTTCATGAGATGGTCAAGTGTGTGTGGATGGTGATGATGGCGTACGTGTGTGTGTGTGTGTGTGTGTGTGTGTGTGTGTGTCGTACATATATGTGGGTGTATACCAATTATACCATATATAAATTACTACTTCGTTTGTATAAGAGTGTGTATGTGTGTATGTCTATATTTATCTATTCAACTTCATAAAAGACACAAACAAACAAACAAGATACAGACATACGCACAAACAGAGAAGCAGGTTACATAAATACGCACAAACAAACAAAATCTATTTATCACTTAGCATAAAAAGTAAATTCAACACAGCATTAAATTCTTTGTTAAAATGAGATGTAAATGGAGGAATATTTTCAAGAATATTACTTACATTGTCTGAAGAAAAATTATCAGTGTAAACTAAATTATTGGTAACACTGTAAGTTAAATTTCCAATATTATCTAAACTGAAAATCAACGTTTCTTTGGAATTCGCTATCCATCGTAGTGTAAGTGATATAAGTGTGTCATCGTGAATATCCAAGTAGACTGAGGACCTTAGGGCTAACAACCCTTCAGACAAGGCAACACAGGGTAGATCACATTGAAATATTCACCTTAAGGGATGAAAAACTTGAACCCGGGTCATTTGTTTGTGATTCACGTACCACCAACACGAGGGGACATAAGGTCATCTAGTTATACAGAGCTTCTTCACACAGGCTGGTAGACCTATGGAACGGTCTACCAGTCCAAGCTGTGGAATCAAGAATAGTACTGTGGGGTTAAAATAGCCCTTGACAAAATTATAGAAATCAATGGCCAGTGGCCTTCCCTCCGCATGGCCATCTCCAGTAGGTGGCCATTAGGTAAATAAGGTAAAGTTACATTGATCAAGTTAATCACATTACCTAGATTAAGTTACATTCGTCACATTGAATAAATAACAACAAAAGTATATTATCCCGGTCAAGTTACAATGGGCGACGTTAAATTACACGAGTAAAAAATATTCAGGAGACTTTCACCCTATAATCAGTTGAGCTGGACGTCATCTACCCCTCGACACGGTGCATGACGCCGGGAAGGCAGAGCTGAATAATATATCCCTTTAGTTTATTTTCTCTGTGCCTATATACCTACGATATAATCTGATTTATTACTTTACAATAATAAGTTGTTTTGTTGATTATACATCTAGTTGTTTTTATTGAAAATCGAACACTGAAAATAGATACGGGGTTTTCAAGGTAATGGTCAATGCCTCAGGCTACGGGCTGGCCAGTGTGCTCTGTGCATGACATTTTTGAATCTTGGGTTGCATTGTTGTACGCTGTATATTTGATTATTTGTATCTTTTAATTACTCAAATTCAAGTCTGAATATCCTGTAAGATTTGCCATGGGTAGTGTGCATAACAGGTTGCGCATGAAGTGTGACATGAGCCCTATAGACGGCAGGCACAGTACGGGGTGTTTACAAAATCCCTTGATGTTCTGTTTACACGTTCCAAAGGACGTTTACACATCCAGGAATATATGTGTTTGTAATTCGTCATGTTATGTACGTATCTGTATTGTATAACATTAAGCTATGGTATTTCCCTTTGAGTTGGAGGAGGAATTGTAAGGAACAAATCACCGCCGGCCATGGTGCACTGCACACAATTCCGCTGGCGGGTTGGTGATAGCGGCCATGGCTACTGCTACACTTACAGGCATAAAACAAAGAACTTCACATTTATAATTTAGATGTGTAACTTTTATTAATGGAATCAGTGAAGTTAACGCGAACATCAAGGGACTTTGTAAACACGGTGTACAGTTGCCATGGGTTGCCAGGAGTGGCCGGGTGTCCTCTGAGGTCTGCCAGAAGTCGCTGGCTTTCCTGCATGATTATCTTCCATGGTACATAAACCTTGTTATGTGATGCTCTGCCTTTTCTCGCATGTTTGATATTCACTATTTCATATAAATCATACTTTTGTGAATTTAGGAAGAAAGTATTGAATGAAACGAGGCAATAATTGGTGGTTATACTGGTATATATTTGAATAATGATGTCCAATAAACGTGATGTATTCCAGATATAACTTAAAATAGCTTTTCCCGAAGGCAGTTTTATCTATAAGGATTTTTTCCATGTTTCTGGGGGCCATATATTATTAATTTTATTATAATTTTATTATATTTACTCCAGCCGAGGCCTACATTATCCTCCCAGTTGAGGGTCATCATGAATGTCGTAGGATTCCAATATAGGGTTACCATGACAGTAAAAGTAATTAACAAGAGCGTAGATTAATAGCATTACGTAATCACGTCAACGTAAGCAATTTAGAAAATAAAAGCTTCCCTACATTAATTGCCTCGGCCGTCTTGTAAGACCCCAAGTTATTTCGTTTTAAACTCATTACTGGAGATTTAATGGCAGTTGACAACCCATTTATTAAAATTACTGGTAGGCTCGCTGTTTACCGCATTTTATATCATTTTCCATCATCTTTTCGTCAAATATCTATTTCGTTGAAAAATAAGGTTTAATTCATCAGAGAAAATGGGCCAAATACCAATGCTGTGGGCTGGTGCCTTAACTCACTCCCCGACCACTACGTCTTTTAAACACCGGAAACATGTGTTGAGCAAATTTAGGAATAAATGTCTCTCGGGGAAGTGTGTTTCCCGCATATAAAATTACATATATAGATTATTAAATTACGTGTACATTTTTATAGAATATAGACTGGGGAGACTGAAGGAAGATAAATAAGGGAGTGTTTTTCTTCACGTGATGGGCTGGGAGATTCTACTAGTAGTATTGGAACAGCTCATCCGGGTCTTTCTCCAGTCTGTAATGTAACATGGCGGGTGTTTGCCTCAAGTGATTATTACTCGGAACAAGTGATTTTTATCCATTCAGATGGTGATTTTAAGACTTTGGCATGCTTGTTAATGCCAAGAAAATAATCTAGTTGTGAAAGATGCAGAATGTAGTACAGGGACCTGTCGCCGACAGCGAGAAAGAGAGCTCAATACTGGAGGGTGCGAAGTCGGACTCGCCCGCCACCTTGAGACCAGGCACCCCGGATAAATGCCAAACGTATGCGGACCTTCAAGATAAATTTTTCACAGTATCGGGCGATTCAGATAGCGAAGAAGGTGACGAATCGGAGGTACGTAGTTTAATCTAGGTGTTGGTGGTAGGCTGGAGGAGAGAGCAGGCTGGAATCGGTCAATATGAGGCAAAATTGTACGCAACGGAGATGGTGGAGCGCGGACGACTTTCAACCGTATTGACAAACAATACAGCAGCCCAGTCAGTTAACCCAGTTGTGCTCACCCCTCCTAGCCACGCAGGCACAGGCTCTTGGGCCGTGTTTTAGGTCCGTGTGAGCCCTGAGTGTTGGTTTGGAGGAGATATATGAGGTGTATGGTGAGGGTGTGGGTGATGATGCACCACTATACTGCCATAACACTGCCACCACCTCTAACCCACTCTCTCTTTCACAATTTCCTTACTCTTCCTCTCTTATTAGCATTTATCTGTCCTTTTCTCCTTCCCCCGCCGTTTATTATAGTTTATGTCATAGTCAATCCCCGTCAGGATCGATAGTTGAACACGGCGGAGGCGGGATGGAAGAAATAAGCACCATTGATGGCTGGCTGGCCTACCATGTTAGCCCCGCCAGCAAAACAAGTCATGACCTCGACTCTAGGCCTACGGCAGCTACCATACCTGCACTCATGACTCATGCCTCACACAGCACTGCAGGCCTGTGTAGAAACTGAACACCCAACCAATAATCAAACTAGGTCACTCTTTAATATGAAAATTACCCCTGGATGGATTATTGTATAAATTAACCTGAAGGGTATATTCACCTATCAGCGTTAATGGGGAACATTTTCAATCAATTTTGTGGGTATGTTGAGATCAAAGGTTTAAGGACTTTGAAACTGGGTCATTCTTTAATTGTATTTTTTATATGGTATTAGGTTACTGCTAAATGAACAGGAGATTCCAAATGGCTTAAATAAGTCATACACTTTAAACGCATTTTGTAGCCAAGGTGAAAAATAACCAAAGTGGTGTCTTCAAATTGATTTAGTTATCAAAGGAGTTAGTGGTGGATTTTTGGCTTGAGAATCAATCTTATGTTGGCAGTTGTTCTTTTGTGTCTTGTGCTTTTATTTAGAAACTTTAGTTGTGTTGATAAAGGCAGATGACTCGTGTATAGTATCTCATTTTGCTTTGTTTAGTGTACATAGACAGGGCAAGTGGTGCCTCAGATCAACCCCCATATTACATCATTACATTTCCACATCAGGTGTTGGAAGTGAAACACATTTCATGGCATAAATCTCTGCAGACTTCAGTTGGAACATGTAGCTACAGAAATAATCAAAGGCAAGAACTAAGAGAACATTGGGTTACTTTACATCCACAATTCTACAGATGACATAATTATGGCTTCTTATATAACCCACTTTGGACTATACACATGCTCACACACACTTGCAGGCAAACATACATACAGTACATGCAGGCAATTAAGATGTCGAAATATAAATGCAAACAACGGCAAGGTTAACAGTACATGAATGCAGAACTCAATGAACAATAAAATGCAAAATTAGGTCAATTTCATTGCCAGGGTCATGCTCACATTACATAATTACCTATAAATGGCGACAGAGAAAGAAACAAAAACACACTGTACAGCATATACATCACACTAACATCACAAACACAGAGAATAAAAGTATTTCTCATATACCTGTATTGCTCAAACTGATCCTCCCCCCCCCCACAATTAACAAATACACTTCTGCTCATTCCTAATATTAGCACCAAAAATAAATATGGATGCAGACAAAACATTCATCCCAACATCTGCCACCACACCACTGCTTAGCTACACCTCACCCACCCTTGCCTCCATGTTTTCTTCATCCTCTGCACCATGAGCTACCAACCTCCCCTATCCTTATGTTATTTGCCAAAACTATGAAGCCCTGTACATTACACATTAAGATCAAAGGAAAATAAAAAAAGATCTATTATTTGTGGTTAAGAATATAAATAAAGTGAGGTGTCTTTGTTTGACAATCAAAATGCATTGTTGGTTGAATTTTTACTGACTGGTATAATAATTTATATGTTGATTGCTTTGTAGGTTGAATTGATCACAGATAAAGAATAATAAGGGATTATGTACTTGGATTACAATCAAGTGTATATTTTTTTTACATTATGCTGAAAGAAATACAAAGACTAGTCTGATTGTGAATGACATACATACAACATCAGAAGACTGTGCTGTGTTTATTTACTACTCGGAAACCATTTGAAGTCTTATCATAATTTATCATATTGGTAAGTACTGAGTCATCACATAATTTTGAGAGTTTATTCAAAATTCTTAATGTGGTTACTGGAGTGGCAAGTCCTCTTTGGTGACTGGCCTCTGTGTCATGTGCATGGGAGTTCTTCTTAATTGGAGGAATGTGTCATAGGATTTCATCATTGCAAGACAACAGCCAATTAGTTTTAATTTGAGTCAGAGGCTGTGTGTACTGTACCATCCAATGAAGGTAAGTATGCTAGGTTTTGTTAATGGTTCAGCAGTGGTATTTGTTGGTTTAGGTGTGATTTATTTAGGATTTGACCCGACTAAAGGATTATGGTCTAAGGTGTTAATCATTTGAGAGCATATGGCCTGAAGCAGTCACACCTCACCTGACACATGATCTTAGCCATTTTTTAAGTTGATAGGTCCAGTTTGATTTGGTTGGTTGTAAATCACTTAGGATTTGTCTATGCCTCCCCTCCCACAGAAAGATTCCCAAATAATGCAGATTCTTACTGACAATAGTGATGTATCCAGTAAAAAATTGCCTTACCAATGTCTATAACTTGGTGTGTGATCAAGTTTACCCAGACATCAACCTGATTAACCACAGTTGGTGTATGTGGACCGTTACCCAGCCTGACCACTGCACCCTGGCTGATCACTGCTGAGGACGGTGGTGCAGTATGGATAAGTACGGTAGCTAACTGGCAGAAATGTGTGAGCTTGTGAAAATTAGCGGCCGTCACTTGATGTACCGTACTTCATTTGATAATTAAACATTTTAATGCAAAGTTCCTAACCTAACCTAAGCTAACCAAAGCAAACTTAACCTAACTAACTTAAACTAACTAACTTAAACAAGTCTAACCTAACCCCTCCTCCCGTGGTTAGCATTAGGGGGTTGATTCAAGGGAAATAAACTGGGATTCCTAATCATCGCGAGATCTAAAACATCAAATGCTGTATAAAAAGTGAAGAAGGATGATGATGTGCGAACAAAAATACACCCTAACACTTTTAACACCAGTTAGGTCTGAATGATGAATGCTTTGTAACGCATAAAAAAAAAGCCACTCCTCGACTTACGACGGGGTTAGGGACCCAAATCCAGGTTGTAAGTCGAAAAAGCGAAGATAATACATAGAAAATCTAAAATGGATGTCTCTTTTCCTTCTCAGCACCACAAAACTCACTTTTAAGCATGCCAGCCATTTTAAAGGGAATTAAAAATGAAAATTTTGTCAGTACACAGCACAATCACTAACGTCGGGACTTGAAAATGTGTAATTTGAAAAATTTTGGGTAGAACTGGGGCAGTCGTAAGTCGAGGAGTAGCTGTATAGTATTCCTCTTTGTGTAGCTGTCTAAAGAGCCGCCACCTTTGTTATGTACTGTATTTATTGTATATATTTTATTTTATTTTATTTTTCATGTCATTTATTCCGAAATAGCACTGAAACTAATTTAAACTTAAGTGTGAAATTTTATTCAGGGTGGTTCATTTCCAAAGGAAGTACTGTACTGTAATATAAACTTAAAAAAAACCTACTGTTGGTTAATATTTTTGAAACCTGGTTATCCATTTATGCTGTACTGTAAGGTTATCAGCTGTAATTTGAAAACAAGCTTTGGTAAGTCCGTTTTCAAGCTTGTTTTCGAATTATAGCCAATATCTTACTGAATAATCAAATTGTGAAAATGCATTGACAATATACTGTATAATGGTGAATGTGCAGAACATAAATAAATGAAAATAGGCTTCTGAACTTCTGCTAGCTATTCCATATGTTTTTTCTTCAATAGACCATCACATACAGTATTATGAGGTCAGTGCTTGATGTACCTTACTAAAAATAATGAATTGATTAGTGTTTATTCAGGAAAATTGTCATACAAGATTACAATGGAGTCAGCATAAATCTAAACAATGCAGGTGTTCAGTTCAACTTGCATAACTCGAGACAATGCATTTACTGTATACAATGTGCAGTGTATCAAGACAGTGCAGGTATACAAACAATGGTAATCAGCAAGAAGTTTGACCAAGGAGAGCTAATGGACCATCAGAACCTAGTAAGCCTTACATCTGTTTCATCAAAATTCTACATTAGTTTCATGGCAAAGGTTAAGGAAATGGATTCAACCTCACTGTCCTGTAATCAATAGCATATTTATAGTTGGTCTTGATCTAAAGAATTTGAATCCGATGGAATGAAAGAAACCAAGTACAGGTTGGGGAATATTGACGTGAACTAAACAAGGTATCCTCGAGGAGACAATTGGGCTGGTGAAGGACCTGAACTAACCATACCTAATTTACCTAAACTACCGGTAACTTTGAAAGAATCTGGTAATGCCGTAGCTATTTGGTTCAGTTGGTTCTTCTTTTAGTCTCTTGTTTTGTCATTAGGCCTGCAGTCTCATTCCATCTACTCTGGTGAATGGGTTTAGCATCTGGCAGTCATCTCGTTCGTGGTGTTAGCTCATGTAAGAAAGCTGATGACATGAGCCAAGTGGGCTATTCAATGGTGATTTTAAATTAGGTTTGGTTGGTTCATATCGTCTGCTTTGATGGTTTTAGGAAGCTTGGAGTCTTAACACATTATTTATCCTAGTAAAATTTTTGTCTTGCACTATCATAATACTACATAAATTGATGATTATATCCAAATTGCATTAAGACTTGGTATGATGTTGAAATATCTTGAAAAATACTGGTGGGGTTATCAGCCATTTAATTATGGGATGTGTTCAGTGATTAAGAAAGGTGGTTTAGGTCAGGTTAAACAAGATAAGATTTTGCTAATTTACCTAGATTA